GAAATGATTCATTCATCAACAGTAGTGTTGAGTATATATTAAAAATTCATTTGAAAGTATATTTGTAAGCATGGCTTATGAACCATGCATTATGTTAAGCCCCGCAGACACGATAGAGGACAAAGTAGACACTGTTACTGCTGCCACATAGATCACTCAACTTCTGGTCTAGCTGGAGAGACAGTCACTAAATTAAAAAATTGGGCATCGTGATTACTTGCAATGAAAGAACCATAGGCAGTTTCTAACTATCAACAGAGAAGTACAGCTATAGAGAATTTAGAGTGGAGGGTTAAGGAAAACTTCTTTCAGAGACTGACCTTTAAAGACAGGACCTGAATAATCAGTAGGAGTGAGCCAAATGAAGAATGACGACAAGAAGTAGACAAGAGAAAACACTCTAGGTGAAGGGAGGAGGGTTCAAGTTTTTTTCCTGAATTGGCAAAGAGCCTGGTGCATTTAGTAGCCAGCAAAATGCCAAAATAGCTGCAACTTAGCGGGTATGTGGTGGTGGGGGGTGGTCAGTAAGCTTTGAAAACCTCACTCTGGAACAGGAGTTTTTATCTGATGGCCATGGGGAGCTATCAAAGAGTTTTAAGTGAAAAAACAACTTAGGCATTTTTGTGTGTCAAAAGTTTACTTGACCAAAGAGGAAAACAAAGGGAGAAAGGAAGGGCTCATGGACACAGACAGCAGTGTAGTGATTGCTAGGAATAGGTGGCTGGGTAGAGGTGGAGGAGGGTCTGCGGGGAATAAATGATCGTGGGAAAAATACATTTAAGAAAAGTTCACTTTGGCTACCATGTAGAAAATGAATGGGAGGTGAAAAGAGAAAGACTAGATGGAGAGTAAGCAATAGCATCCTGACAAAGAGATGATTGTGACTTGAAATTTGGTGGTGGCCCTGGAGATAAAAGAAGAGGAAAGAAAGGTGGGGAGATGCTAATGGAATGCAATACACAAGACCTTGGAGTGGGTCACTGGAGGCTCCCAGAAACTCAGGAACATACCCAGGAAGATGAAACTCCCACTTCCTGCGAAAGGGAACCCTCGAAGACAAATCGACTTGTAGAGAAGATCCAAAGGTAAATTTTGAACATGTTAATTTTGATCTTATGGTTTCTTTGATGTCCATGAGATATCTACCCAGGACCCAAGAAAGACACGTTTGGGGGTTGATTGGATAGATACCTGAGTCTGGTCAATCTTCAGATTTGTTGCTGCAGAATCACTTTAAACATTTCATTATTTAGCTTCACCCCAGGCCTAATATTTCAGACTCTTCAAGAAAATATGGCCAATTTAATACCCTGAGGTTAAATGCAGTGAAAATATTCAGTCATTACTGGATAGTTGCTCTAGTTAAACTTTAAGCTCCCTGACAGCTTTGAGTGCCTATAAGTTTGTGACTAGGAAGCCAGAGTATTAAACCCATTATTACTCTCTAGGAGCAAATGTGTTACACAAGCCATGAAACACCATGGAAAAGGAAAGCTATAGTTAGATCTTTCTGTTTACATTTCCATGTTTGCCATATGATGCTGCCACCTTGGCCATGAACTAATTGATTCAGGAAACAGACCCTTGCCAAAAGCAACACCTTAATTGTTCCAGTGGTCTGTGTGATGACCTTTCTTAAGAATCCAGCCCACTGTTCAATCATTTTGGATAGTACTGATTTACCCAATCAGATTTTATCTTTGGCCAGAGGAAAGGGGAGTGGTAAAAAGTATACCTGGAAAACAAAAACATGGATGAGTAGGAACAACTCAAAGTTAAGGGAGAATCAGACAGCAAGAGAAGCAAAGAGAAACAAGAGCAGAGGCACAGGTATGACAAGCGGTAGAACAAAGCTCAAGAGATACCTGCTTCTGATCAGATGGCAATGAGGCTGAATCCCCTGGTTCATTAGTTTATTTATTCAACAAGTATTTATTGAGCTCCTACTATGTGCCTGGCATAGACACCTCATTCTAGGTATATTACACTGAGTATTATGGAAAAAAACAAGGCAGTGTGTAAGGACCTAGATAGGGATGGTGGAAGGAGCAATTAATTACCAGGATAAAAAGGCCCATCTGAGGAGGTAACATGAGCTGAGCCACATCTAAGGCCACTGGGTAAAGAGCATTCCAGGAAGAACAAATGGGAAATATAAATGCTTTGAAATGCAAGTCTGTTTGGCATTTTTATGAACAGCAAAAAAAAAAGTTCATAATGTTGGACATCAATGAACAAAGGGTAGCATGAAAAAAGATGAGATCAAAGAAGGACATAAATGCAACTCATTCAGGCACTTGTAAGCCGTGGTTGAATTAGTAATTTTATTCTGAATGTAACAGGAAGCCACTGAGGATTTTGATGAAGGGGGTGGCGTGATCACATTTGTGAGTTAGAGGAATTACTCCGGTTTCTACGTGGTGGAGATTGTAGAGGGGAAAGAGAAAAATCGGACAGACCAGTAAGAACACTACTGCAGAAGCCCAGGCAGGAAAGAATGCTGGCTTGCACAAAGTAGTAGCAGTGGAAAATATAAAAAGTAGTTAGGTAAAGAATGTACTTTGAAATTACATCTAACAAGTGTAGCTAACAGGTTGGGTAAGGAAGAGGTGTCAAAGATCACACAAAGGTTTTTGTTCTCAACAGCTGAACACAATTTACTAAGATGGGAAAACAAACAAACAAACAAAAAAAGCCAATGCATTAAATTTTAGGAACCTAGTAAAAGTCAATGAAGAATTTTGGTAGCTCGTTGAAAATGAGGGTGTGAAGTTCAGGAGATAATATTAAGACAGCAGATAGAAATTTGGGAGTCATCAGCATATCTGTCTTGACAGTATGCCTGTTAAAATGGTTTCCTCTGCTCTATTTCTTCCCATGTGCCTTCATATAGCACTTACATTATGAGACGTAACCTAGACATGTGTGTTTCCTGAAACCTGGTGGAGTCATAAGTAGCATAGCAAGTGAGAGAGGGGAGATGAAATGAATGTAAGAGATCAGAGAGTAGCCTCACTCTGCATTACTTGAAATGGCACAGGTGGGATGTAGCATCTCTCTTTTCCTGCCACTTTGGCATCTGTACCCAATAACTCTTCATAACCTAATAAGAGAGGAGAATAAAGGAGTCTTGCTAATTTGTTTTTGTTTTGTTAAAGCAGTTACTTACTGAGTCCTTCATGAGCTCTAGTTGGCCTTTTTGTCTGTGATTAATTTTTCAGAACACTTAATCATATCTGTTGCTATTTTTCTTGGCCAGCAAATGTTTTTTTTACACTCAACAATTGCGTGTTCCAATGCAATTTGAAGAATTATATGTTTCAGAGCAATTGTAGTGTTGCATTTGGTACCTCAATAACATTTCCTTTTCTAATTCGTCTTTCTTGTGATTGAAGCTTCGCAATGTGCTCACATGTACCATATGTTACCATTTCTTAATTCTGCCATGAAAAATTTAATTCTAGCTCTTAGGGACAGGTAAACTGAATAAAACATGTTGATTTAGCTTCCTCTTTTCTTTTATCAGAAGCAAGAGACTTACCTAAGTACTTACTAGTTATAGATGAGGATCTATCTAAACACCTTGATAGTCTATTGAAAGAATTACTGTGGTCTCTCAAGCCTTAACTCATGAACGAAAATGATTATCACTGAATGACCATCTTGGAAAGCTTGACCGTAGTAAGAGTATATGTAAAAATGTGCAATGTGACTAAATGTCCTAAATGTTAGGATCCCACATTCTTATGACATTTGAGAACTAAATATAATAAAAACCATGAGCCCTTGGGGCCTTGGTTTTAATATTTCTCTTTAAAAATAATATAATTATTCTCTGAGGGCATGAGAACAGTATTACTTTAGTTAGTTAAGCTTAAAAATAGAACAGAGGAAATCATTAAGTTAGTGAACATGTATCTTTTATTGTTGCCCATTCCTACCAAAACTGATATGTCTTGAAAGACAAGATATACTTGTACTTTCCCTACTTACGATAGGGGAAATATGTTGAAAATGATTCATTTATCTTCAGAGAAGAATGCCTGATAGTCTCAATAGTTACACTGGCATAAACTACAATATGATGATTTGATTATTTACCACAGTCTTACAAATAAGCAAACATGTTTTATAGCTGCACAGGAAGGAAGTTGACTGAAAGTAGCTCTTAATGTGTCCATTTATATCCCACCTCCCTGAAAATGCCCCAAATCTAGAGAGAATACAGAGTGCAAATCTGCACTCTCAATTTAGGCGTTTCTCCAGACTCCAGAGGAAGATGCCCAGCTGGCCTCTCCTGCAGTTGAAACCACGCTGGATGACTACACAGTGAACCCCTGGGCCAACGGCCCCACGCCAGACTGGAACATGAGCTACTGGACTAGACACACTCTGCCTTATGTCAGGAACATTTGGGTGTGAGAAATAAAAGAAGCCGTTCTTGGAATTGATGTTGGTCAAAATTCTGATGCACTTAGATGTTCTTTTAGCAGTTCCAATTTGGGGAGAAAATTCTGTGATAATGCCAGAGTCCGAGTTAGCATTCCTAGTTGTTATTCCAACAGCTGTTACATGTACAGCTAATGGGTATTTGAGTTTCTTAGAGCTGTTCCCAACACAAGGCAATGAGGCAACACTTTACATTAAATCTGCCCATAATTCTACTTTGTTTAAGCCAAGAAAAAAGTGACAATCATCTGCCAATATTGGAAAGAGTAATTCGGGATTCTAGAAAAATAACTTCAGGGAAAAATAGGAGAGGAAGGGTTAAGAAAAGCCTTTGTTATTTTGGATCATCTGACTCTAGTTATCCTTTCTTCAAGCACCCATTTTACACTTGATGAAACCAAGTTTTAAATAGACAGCATCTTACTAAAGTTCACATTACTAAGTTGAGACTAGATCTAGGTTATTATCAAGCATACAGTCCTTAAGAGCAGACAGCCTGCCAGCTATGAACTCAACACTCGCAACACCCCGAAACAGTACCTGAACAGTACCTTTCATGGTGGGTGGTGTGTACACGCTCTGCTTCCTTTGCTTAGGGGATGCATTCTGTGACTGTGAACAAAAAGAAAAAGAAAGTCTTATGTTTGCGCATAAAGACATTGCCATCAGTTGTCTGAGGGAAATAAACATTGTGCTGTATTTTAAAAAGCTTTCTGACATCTCCCTCATAAAACAGAACTCTAATCAATGAGAAATTATATACTTGTTCACTGGTAATAAAGTGTTTAAAGATATGTGGAGCTGTGGCATATATCTTATCATAAAACTCTTCATCCACTGCAGTATTAAAATTGCTTTTTATTTTCTCATCTAGTAACACTTTCATGTTAAAAGGAAGAGAAAAAGAGACACTAATCTTTTCCATTTAAAAGGAAAACATAAGTGCCAAAACAAAATATACTCCAAAAGCTATGCCCATGAGATAATTGCCCTGTTCCTAGGATTGTCCAATGGTTCTGGTGGGGACGGGAGGGTGCTTGGCCAGTAACACCAATGTACAACCCTCTGAAATTGATAGGTTCAATCTCATATCTACATTTACTTAGAGTTACAATGTGAAGATTATATTTTTATATGTTCTAAAGATAAATCTGTCTAACAAAACAGTTATTTGGCACTCTTATCTAAGCACACTGCATCAGGATTTATGAACACCAAAGCCCCAGCCAGCTGACTTGACCACAAACAGCCCTCCACAGGAGCAGATTCAACCAACCACTTAAGGAAAAAAGTATTTTCCAACCATGGCAAGGAATCTGGAGTTGGAGAACCGATATTGGGAATGAGAAAGTACTGTTTTGAATCCACAGTTGGTTGAATCTGTATATGCAAAACCCATGGATTAGAAGGGCCGACTGTATTTATTGAAGAAAATCTGTATATAACTGCACCTGCCTAGTTTCTACCTATGGTGTTATGTATGTATGTATGTATAATATTACTTATAATAAAATAATATATATGTGGCCTATACTCAAATCAGATTATGTCAAATATCCCCTTTTAATGGTGCCTATTTTTATTACAGTATGTCAAATGTAGGGGCTTTAATATGTGAAACAATTTTTGCTTTGAAAAGCTCAAGTATAAATAGTTACAGCATACTTTTGGGGAATTACTTTAGGCTTGTTGTGTATATTAGAAAGAATATAATATACAGTCTAAAAAAACTCCTAGAAACTGTTTCACAAAATAGAAAGTGAGGCATCTTTCCTGGTTCATACGGAAGCTTAATTGTTCTCAAAGTATAATCGAGATGCTGGTTTTTAGTAAAAGGTGAAAGATTTATACTATTTGAAGAGAAACCAGAGTATAGGATGTTGGTTTTTACCTGATACAAAAACAATCCAATAAAAAGTTAAAAAAAAAAAGTTAATGAAATGTATTTAAGTATTAATAAATTTAGATTACTTAATTGACTCAATTAATTTAAAATTCTATTTTGTCACTGCAAGATATATTTGAATAAAAATATAGAACATAAAAATATACTAAAACTAAAACCTATTGAAAATTAAAGGAAAACAGAATTGAGGAATGATGTTTTAACATAATAGTTTATTTGGCAAATTAAGTGAATCTTAAATAAGTACTAGTATTTTTTTAAGTAAAAAGACAAAATCAAACAATTGCCAAACTTTATAGAATAGAATAGAATGTTTTGGTGCCAGTCTATTACACTCAGGTACAGGCAGGGCGAGTCTATATCAGCATAAATGTGTGGATGATTGGCATCTCTGCCACTCCTCTACTGTGTTCAGTCACACCTGGCTGACTTTGCAAAGCAATTTTTTTCTGGATTTCTTATGTATTTATTTGTACACCCATATTCAAATGGTAAGTAGGAAATTAACTCTTTAGAAAAGACTATTTGTTATATAACAGTAGTAAAACTTAAGTAATAAAAACTATATTTACATGAGCGTTTAATTTCCAAAACATTTTCCCATATACAATCTCATTAAATTTATAGTATTTGATATTTTGTCTTTCTACATTTTCCTGCATATTTACTATATGCCTACTTATGCAGCCATAAAAACAAACTAAGTCGGTGTACAATTTATTAAATATCTGCTTCATTTCTGGGTGCAAGTTTACCTACTTTCTCACTCTATATATTCTATGTTATCAGTTCCGATAGCCTCCCCCGGCTCCTGTTCTCTATCTGAACTCCCACATGTGCATTCGGAGACTCTGGCCTCATGATCTGCTCTTGCCTCCACACCCCGGAAAGCTGTAGGCAGTGCCTGCCCCCCATACTCTTGCTTCAGAACTTCAGCATTGGCTATCCCCAACTCATGATGGTCATATGCCAGCAGTCACGAAACTGAAATTATCAATACTGTTTGTTACCATTAAAAGCAATGGTGTATTTTAGAACCATTTTCAAGGGTTAGATTGCACTGTTAGAGAATTAAGGCACCCTATAGGCAGAGATTTAATGGCAAGTTATATTGCATGTTCAGTCAGGAAAAGCAAACTAAATAGTTTTTGCATCACAGTTATATTGATATCATATTTTATATTACAAAAAATTAAGTAACTGTTTTTTATCGATCTGAACACCCATTTATATGAATTGTAAGAAAACTTACTTCTGCTTGTGTGTTGGTCACCCTCTTGTCATCTATTTCTGCAAGAGAAGTAGGTGTTATTAGAAAAGTGTTATTTTTCTTATGATATCATTAATATGTTCAACAACAGAGATCGACATGATTTAATAATGGCCTATGCTTATATAACATTTGTGGCTTAGTCTAACAGCCTAGAAGGAAAGAGGAGCATAAAGGAAAGAGGTTTCCTTCTGAGATCAACTTCTCCCAAAGCTTTTTCAAAAGACAATAAAAAAAAATCTTGCCTGAAATTCCAAACTGCCCACCTTTCAGCAGTCTAGGAAGGGGAGCAGGGAAATAACTCTTGGAACAACCACTGGCATCGTCAACCTTATAGCGCTCAGGCGTGAACAATTTCCTCCATTCATGGATTTTGTTGCCACTGTCTAAGGACTAACCTCTCTGTCAAACTTCCTCGAGTTTGCCCTTACACAGAACAAATCTTTTTCATTCGGCACAATCATTTGGTCTGAGAAGAAATTCCTTACTTTGAGAGACAAATGCAAAAGTTAACTAAGTATAATGATTCAAAGAATATTGTTGTCATTGAAGAAGGAGACAGAGATAGAAATGGTCTGGAAAGGTATGAGTATTGATTAGTTAGAATGCATTCAAGACATTTAAATTCATGAAAGCAATAGGACTAACTCAAGTCAAAACAACTCACACAAAAGTACAAAATAAGTTAAGAATAGATCATGAATTTTTTGAGATACTGACTGATGTAAGGATATTTCCATTTAGTTTAATAGATTATTATTAAATTGGGAAGGTTATGTGGATACACATAAACTGTGAACACAGTTGTCTGATTATTTTGAAAGTATACAATTTCATTGAAATTGACATTTAAAAATATGCAATACAATTTCATCAGATTTTGGAAAAACCAGTTGTGATAAAAATAAAGTCTAAAAGAGAAGGAAATAGAAAAGACTATGAGAGAACAAGGGAAAGTTTCTGAACTACAACAGAATGAGAACTACAGAAACTGAGAAGTGGAAGGTATATAAACAGAAAACTATAGAAAGCCTAGGGAATCTTGACTATAGCCGAGGAATTTGTTTCTTGAAGAAGTCACTAGAGTGCACACATAATTCCTAATATGATTCTTCTACTCTTCTGTCATGACTATAGAAACTCCCTTGATCTTCATGAACTTCAGTGTTTTTGCCATCTCTGCCTTCCTCATTTCATTCTAAGCCTATTTTGGGAATTAAAAATATGAAAAAATGAGAGCTTAACCCCTCAGTCTTTAAGTGTGGATGCACATAGTAAAATTCTACTATTTATTTATTTATTTGTATTTTGTATTACAGATTGCATAAAATTTATATTAGTTTTAGGTGTACACCATAGTAATACAACATTTATATAACTTACAAAATGATCACCCTAATAAGTGTAGTGCCCATCTGACATCAGAGGGAATTCCTTTTAAAGAGCACAGTTTGAAAAGGGGGAAGGTGGATATAAATGCTTTTCAGTAGAGAAACATGGCAAGCAGTACCTCAGCCAGATGATGGAGGCCAACACCAACAGTCAGAAATTATCTTAATAGTATGAACTCTTGATGCAATGTGATGAAGATGGCACTTTAACTGAGTGACCTGCCTCCCAAAAACCCATAACCTCAGTCTACACATGGGAAAACATCAGACAAATCTCAGTGGAGAGGTGATGCTGGAAAGATAGGGGAGTAGGAAGCACCAGGAATACTAGACAACAACTGTATTGGAAAAATGTGTTTGATGTCACTGTTTTTGGAACTCTGGAGACTATTGAAGAATTGCAATTTCCGGGGGGAGACTTGGAAGGTCAATTTTAATTAATTTTAGTCAATTTAACATTGACCTACTCCCAAGTCCGTGGCAGCCAGCCAGCCAGGCAGATAGTACAGAAGCCTGCACACAGTTTGTGGGTTCCAGGGCAAGTAAAGACGATCCTGTCCTCCAAATATGAGAGATCTGTCCTCTGACCACTGATTGCTTCTTCTGATCTCAGAGGAGAGCAGCCATTGTTGTTACACCCTGCCCCACCCCACCCCAGTTGTTAGAATTTCCTCAGCCTCGGGCTGAACTGACTTCTGGAGGACTTGAAGAGTCAGTGCCCATTCCCCCTCCCTTTGTTTTCTTTCTTTTTCCCATCTTGTGAGCCAGACATTAAAGTCTATGAAATTCAAAAGCCACTGCACATCAGAAGAAATTAGAAAGTAACTATGTATGCCCAAAGAAAGATGCAAGCTCAGAAAAGACCCAATAAAACCTGAAGTTAACACCCCAGAATTACAGCAAAATTTTTACTATTGCCCCCACCCTGGTTCTAAGGCCTTCAGATTTCAACTGGAGCTATACTATTGGCTTTCTTAGGCCTCCAGCTTACCAATGACAAATTGTGGGACTTAATGGTCTCTATAATCATGTGAGCCAATCCCTCATAATAAGTCTCATTTGATATGTCTCTTTATATCCTATTGGTTCTGTTTCTCTGGAGAACTCTAACATAATCATCAAAAAGAAGGAAAGTGTGAGAAACTGTCATATCTAAAAAGAGTGTAAGGAGACATGACAACTAAATGTAATGGGGTATCATGAAAAGAGCATATGGTAAAGACTAAGGCTATCTGAATGAAGTGTGGGTTTCAATTAATAAGATCATTGTTGGTCATTAATTGCAACAATATAATGCTTCAATGATTAATGCAAAATGTTCATAATGAGGGAGATAAGTGGAAACTCAATGTGCCTTCTGTTAATTTTTTCTGTAAATCTAAAATTTTTCTTAAAAAATCATCTATTAACACATTGACTGGTATGGCTTAGTTGGTTGGGCGTTGTCCAGTAAGACAAAACATTGCTAGTTTGATTCCTGGTCAGGGCAACATGCCCAGGTTGTGGGTTCGGTCCTTAGGCAACTAAGGCAACTGATCAATGCAAGAGGCAACTGATCAATGTTCCTCTCCCTCTCTTTCTCCCTCTCTTACCCTCTTTCTAAAAATAATAAATCATTGATCAATAAAAACTTAAGGTGGTGAGAGACGGGATTCTCACTCATAATGACTTGAAAATTAAATTACCAAACATAAGAAGAAAAGAAACATGTAAGGATGACTGCCAGAAAAGCAACTCTAAGATGAATTTTCTCCAGATGAAATGAAAACAGAGCAGTTCCTAGTGCACTGTTGGTGGGAATGCAGACTGGTGCAGCCACTGTGGAAAACAGTATGGAATTTCCTTAATAAGCTAAAGATGAAACTGCCTTTTGATCCAGCAGTCCCACTGCTGGGATTATACCCTAAGAATTCCGAACTACCAATTTAAAAGAACCTTCACGCTACAATGTTCACAGCAGCATTATTTACATAGCCAAGTGCTGAAAACAATCTAAGTGCCTGTGAGTAAATGAGAGGATCAAAAACCTGAGGTACATTTACACAGTGGAATAACAATGGAATACTACTCAGCAGAAAGAAGGAATTTCTATTCTTCTCAAGAGCTGGGTGGAACTGGAGAACATTATGCTAAGTGAAATAAGCCAGGTGGTAAAAGACAAATACCATATGATCTCACCTGTAAGTGGAACCTAATCAACAAAACAAACAAATGAGCAAAATAGGACCAGAGACTTGGAAATAAAGAACAAACTGACAGTGGTCATAGAGGAAGGGGAAAGAGGACAACAAGGGAAAGATGGGGAAAGGGCAAGCAAAGGAACATGAACAGAGGACTCATGGGCATGGACAAAGGGGGAGATTGACTAGGGGAGTTGGGGGGTGGGGTAGGCAGAGCAATAGGGAAAAAGGCAGGACAATTGTAACTGAACAACAATAAAAAAAAAAGAGCAGTGTAAAAATGTCTTTATGAGAATATTTGCGACCCACCAAGAGATAAAAAAGTATATCCATTTTTTAAAAACTCACAAAATGTTAAAACAAAAATTTGGCTAAACTAGAAAAAGAACAGGTTAATATAAAAAAAAACAAATAGAAAATGCAAAAATTTATTTAATTGGAAAGATGCTGGGTTTTTTTTTAGATTTTATTTATTTCTATTTAGAGGGGAAAGGAAGGAGAGAGAGAGAAATATCAACGTATGGTTGCCTCTCATGCATCCCCTGCTGGGAACTGGCCTGTAACTCAGACATTATATTTGACAAATCGAACTGCGATCATTTGGTTCGCAGGGCCCGTGCTCAATCCACTGAACTACACCAGCCAGGGCTAGAAATGCAAAATTTAATCACGGAAATAAAAAACTCAGTAAAAGTGAAAATCTCTAGACTGGGCTCAGTATGGCTTTAAAACCTTGGATATTATCTATAAATATATAATTGTTTATATATAATCATTTATTTATATTTACATCATATGTGTGATATAGAATTATGACCAACAAACACAGGGAAACTAAAAGGCATAGAGAAAAACAACAGAGCAGCTGGGGCTTCAGGAAACGAGGAACAGCACACCAGCGAGTTCCCTGAGCTTTCTTTCCCTCATATTCGGGACTGAATACTGGAAAAGCTGGGAATCCAGAAATGCCGAAAGAAACCAGCAAAAAAAGAAATTTCAAAAAAAAGCCCACTTTCTCTAAAGGACCAGGAAAAGGACACCTGCTTTCTAAAAGACAGAAAACTTTTAAATGTTTACTCCTCTTCTTCTTTCTTTTTGAAGGAAGCCAGAGGAACCCTGGCACTTTCACAACCAGCCAGTGCTAACGAAGCAGCATGAGAAAATGGCACCTTACCACGAGGGAAGAACAATGTGCATATTTTTCACCAGAAAACATGGTTTCAGAAAGAAGCAGCACAACACCTTTCTAGTGCTGGACAGAACTATTTACTCTGCATGCCATATCCAGTGAAGCTATGCTCCAAGAATGAAGGGGACACAAAAACAACCTCAGATGAAGGAAAACTAATTTTTACCGGCAGGCCTGTGCTAAAACAATCAGCTCAAGGAATTTCTCTAATCACAAGGAAGAAAGAATGATGGAAAGAGCACAAATGTGGGTAAATATCA